TTTGAAAATCATCAGCTCTTTTTGTTTCGGGAGGTTCTTTAAATTTTCAATTTAAGTTATCAATGATATAAGGCGCGTGTGTGTGAGTACCACAATTGAATATAAATCGTATTTTTACTTTAAATTTACGTCATCTGCAATTTTTACCATGAAATTTAAAGTTTAACTTAAATTCAATAGGAGAGCTTTCAAAGTACACCTATTAAATGCAGAAAAATATATTTCAGCTGCTTAATGTAGTATACGAAGAAGTTGTGAGGTGTTGAGAACACTGATGGCTTATAATTCAAACCACTCGTAGTATACATAATATAAAGGAAGCTTAGTTGTGGGTGTTAATGTTACAAAACATTTCTAAAATATTATGATTGTCCGTATATATTATGCTTCCTGGCAATAGTTGGGACGGTTTCAGATGAAATATTGTATTTTACAGATAATGTTAACTTTTCAAGGTACCTAGATAGAAGTCATTCCCGAGAAAATTATATTAATTATAAAGACATATTATTTATATTTCTAACATCAAACGAAGTTCAATCACCCAGTTAGTTAATCTCTTTGTAGGCATACAAGATAATGATGCACGTATTCATACACAATACATTTTAAGTACTGGAGCATTGCTATAATGATTAAGGTATTTCTTATAGTCATATATGGTAAGCCATTCATTTTATGAGCAATAAAACTTGAACTTACTCTACAATACTTAGTCCTTTGACATTTATGTTGTGTGTGTGTATTAATGTCCCTTGCGTATTATTTGTGCGTATATTATAATTAACCCATAGTGTCATTCGCCCCTAAAGTGTTGAATATGATTGAGACCACATGAATGTTTGTGAATTCACCCGATACATTTTGTACAGCGAATGCGTGAGACAGTCGTACACTATAAAATAATTTCGTTTAAAGAGTTTAATAAACAAAAGTCGTTTTTTTAACGTAAGATAATTAAAGAGTACAATACAAATGTAACATATTAGTTTTATTCGGTTTAAAGGAAAAGATCTCTTGAGAAGTGATTGTAATAATATATGGCATCTAAACTAATTCCTTAACACGCTTAATTACAAAAACGGAAATTTTCTTAAATCAGAAACAAAATAACAATAAAAAGTTAACAGTGAGATCAGACAGAATAGCACACAGTTTTTGAATTACATATTAGATTTATCTTCAGTAAAACTAATATTCAAACATACATCCTTATCATGAATAAATAGGATGACACTCTTTATTTTAACTAAAAATAGACGCAGCAACAAAGTGACTATAAACACCGTTGTCGAATAAATCCTATAATAATTCCTATCCAACTGCAGAGAGATGTAAGACAGGGTGATGTTATATCCCCAAAACTCTTCACCGCTGCGTTGGAAGACGTTTTCAAGCTACTGGACTGGAAAGGATACGTTATTAGCATCAATGGCGAGTACATCACTCACCTTCAATTTGCCGACGATATAGTCCTTATGGCAGAATGGCTGGAGGACCTTAGCACTATACTCAATGACCTCAATGGTGTCTCCCATCGGATAGGTCTTAAGATGAACATGGACAAAACAAAGATCATGTCTAATGTCCATGTCACACCTATGCCGGTAGTTGTTGGGAGCACTAAGCTCGAAGTTGTTGACGAGTACGTTTACCTGGGACAAATAGTCCGGCTAGGTAAGTCCAACTTCGATCGAGAGGTCAATCGACGGATTCAACTCGGCTGGGCAGCGTTCGGGAAATTACGACACATCTTCTCGTCAGGTATACCTCAAAACCCGAAAACTAAGTTGTACAACCAGTGCGTGTTGCCAGTGATGACATATGGAACTGAGACGTGGTTCTTCACTGCTGGCCGTATGAGGACGCTCAAAGTCGCTCAGCGAGCTATAGAGAGGGCTATGCTCGGATTTCTTTGCATGATAAACTTAGAAATGAGGATATCCGCAGTAGAACCAGAGTGACCCACATAGCCCAACGGATTAGTAAGCTGAAGTGGCAATGGGCTGGCCATATAGCTCGAAGAAACGACAAACATCGGGGAAAAAAATTCTCGAGTGGCAGCCTTGTACCGGTAGACGAAGTGTAGGGCGACCCCCACTAGATGGAGTGACGACCTGGTAAGACATGCAGGAAGTCGATGGATGCAGGTGGCTCAGGACCGTGCTTTGTGGCATACCTTGGGGGAGGCCTATGTTCATCAGTGGACTTGTAAAGGGCTGTAATGATGATGTTGATTATGATGTCGAATAAAATCTAGTGTTGAATAAAAATTAAAATAGCTAAAATAAAATAAAGTGAGTAGAACCTTTCGCTGCGTAGGGTTCCGTAGGGAATGTTGTATACTACCTAATGATATCGTTGACTTTATGCCTCGGTGGAGTGGAGCTGAAAAGAGTTTTACAATTAAAGTACCTGTGCACATACTTATCGACGTCCTTAGATGTTCAGCTTTTTAATTATTGTCTTTGGTCCGATTTAAAGGTCCTCCGGGTTAACTTTGACATCGGGACGTCGGTCACCTCAGTCACCCGTGACCATGGGTGCTGGAAAGCACCCGAAACGTCGCGCATTAAAAATTAAATAAAGAAAACGCGATAAAATCCGTAAAAGTAGTTTTAATAAAAAAAAAAGCTTTACATCTGATAAGGAAAATTTAAATCTAATGAGTTTTTGTGTCATCGTGGCGAAGAGATTAGCAAATGTGATTTATTTACTCACGTTGAAGCTAAGAGGAGTCCACAACGTTGACTTGGCGAACCTACTCCGTATGCCGATTGGTAAAATACAGAACAGGGGAGCCACGCAAGAAAAGTGCCACTTTCGCGACAAATGGAACGTGTATAAGTGTGTTAATATATTATATTATTCTCTAGTTACTCATACTTACTTTGTAAGTACGAACCGGCACATGAGTATAATCAATTTTTTTAAGCTTTTACTTTATTTTCTTAGTATCAAGTGAAGTGCATTTTAAAAGTATTTTTTATTTTTTTATTCAACAAACAGTTTTAATTACAAAATCAATTTCTTCGTGCCATTAAACATCTATTGTTTGTCTTGGCACTGCACAGTTTGCTCTTAATTATACATTAATTTACTTAAGCTTATTATTTAAATGACATTGGAATTAACTTTTACTTAAACTAAATATAAAATACTATGAAACATTTGTGCTACAAATTATGTATTAGAAAAAAAATAAAAAAAATTTCGCATAAAAAATTTGTATAAAATCTCTAATATGTTTTACTTGAACTATTTTTTGTGGAGAAGGTGGTTTTTGGTATTGTTTACCAGGAGTAGTGAAGTAAAAACGTGATTGTTGTCTTCAGTTGTTCGCTTATCCGATATACTGTACAATCTTTTATGTGCGTACACACGGAGTGTATTTTTAAGGAATATTTTTTTTCATGTATTTTATATTGTAACACGTTTTGTATATTTGTCCAATTTAACAATTATTGGCATAGATAGATATAGATAGATTATTTAGTGTATTATATAAAAACTTACACCCAAATATTGAGATTTATCATTATCTCCACCTTCTGCGGCTTATGTTTCATTAGCAAGTTTTGCGTGCTTGATTTCCTAGCTCTTACAGTCACTCTCGAGACAGTAAGGGAGAACTTATCTTTTCTATATCATTTACATTACTCTGTTTCACTTAATCCTCTTCAAGTACGTTTACGCTTGCGATATAACATGGTTCTCGGCTGTAATCTAGTTTCCGTTTAGAATACAATATTACTAAGTTAAGTTTCACAGCAAGTATTCTGTTATAATCACGTTTATTGCCAACTTCGAAGAATATTATTTAATTGAAATCTTAATAAAATTTATAATATTTCCACGACATTATTTGGAGTTTTGCTTAGAACACAATATTAGTATGTTCACTTCCATAGCAAGTATTCTGTTGTAATTGTCTTTTTTCTGCTAAGAAAATTATTCAATTTATATCTAAATGAAATATGTAATATTTTGATGTTTTGTAGTCAATATCTGTTTATACATTATTGCTCTATTCGATAGATGACGTGGCACCCAGTAGCTAGTTACTTTTGTTTTTGTAGATGAAGGTAATTATCAATAAGAATAGATAATGTGGAATAAATATCAACATCTATGATTTGTCGTCGACAGTCAGTCAACATATAGAAAGACAGTCAAATAACCACTGTGCTAAGCTCAAAAAATAATATTATTAAAAACGGTGTTCAATTTCAAATGAGATATTTTCACGTAATTGTATTCTTTTTACCACGTTCTAATTAAGTAAATTTCTTGTCTGTCGTTTCGGGTGAAATTTATATATTGATTTTAAACTAACTTCCCGATGAGCCGGAAATTTGAAATTTTGAATAAAGCTCATATTCGGGTGACAATGACACGAAAATGATAAAAAATCATTGAATATAAAAAAAACTTTTTATAATATTCTACTTGTTCCTTAATGTGCCTTACAATAGCGTTATTGGAAGACAATACAAAGTGGGTCTTTAAATACATTTTTTTTAATTTATTCTATGAATAATTCTAGGCTTAATTATAATAAAAACGTAAAGAAATAAAATCTTTATTTAGGTTTTTATGCAGGCTACAATTGTAACAGACATTAAAGGTACATTAGTTAAATCGCAATTGAATATTTTAGTATCTTTGTTTACTTTATGCTATTATTTATCTTTGCATAATTTTTATTTGTATTTCGCTTTACTCATTTTACCTTATCTAAGGTATAAAGTCTTTATAAACATTGTCAGCTTCATGTTCCTCATCAGTACTATTCTGAGATCAGACATTTCATTATGATTATAACATTATTTTCTTATTTAAACTACTCAGCAGTTGAATGACATTCATAATTTGTTTTTCCTTTCACATAGCAAGTATTTAAATTTTTTATATTATTGTTATCTGTGGAGCATGTTAGGGAAGTGAAAACCCGATTCCATTTTTTGTTTGTGAATTAACATTCTATTTCTTATAGTATTATGCCTGGATATATCCAACGAAATAGAACGAGATGCAATAAAGAGAAGCAGAATGTTTTTGATAACATGACTGTATTAATGCCCGGAGTATATCGTCCACGAAACAGTAAGTAGTATTTAAAATTACATTTGTAATCTTACATTTATTTAATGTATATTAAAAAGCTTAAATTCTTAAGGAACATTCACTTTACTTTTTTATTATTTTCATCAACATCGCAGAAGAGAAAAATAGTAGGAATTTATTTATTACCTAAGTCTGAAAAACACTTTTAAAAGAAAATTTAAGGAATACGTATACACGAAAAATTTAAGGCAATTATTACACTATTCATTTATGTATCTTGCCGTTTATTAATATTTGCAAATTTAAATTTAAAAAATATTAAAACGAAAATTAACGTTTAAAATGAGTCCAATTTTTATAGAATAAGGGTGACAATCGACCACACAACCACCTGATGGTAAGCGGATGCTGTGGCCCATAGACATCTACAATAATCTTCGATTAGGAATCAAAATACGTGTGCACTTTGAATCCCTTGAGATTGCCACCCCTGAGAACTAAGATGGAATGCCTCGTTTCTAGTAAAAAGGGTCATCGTTTCTTCACTCTCATCATTCGAAATTTGAGGAGAGAAGCCGCTATATTACGGAGATGTTCTGTGAGATGGTAGCAATATTACTTAAAGGAAGTAATACAAAAATCTCTTTCTACTAATTTACGATATCCATGGGACGCTTTGATGGTAAAGGATTCTCTTTCGCTACCAAGACTTCATTATTAAGGTTTCATTCCATGTTAATATTTTTTTATTATGCAGGATTATTCAACAACCAGAAGCATACACGTCATAAGAGAGCTGTTCTTAAAAACGGGAAAATAAATGTTTACTGCAATCACGGTATGAAATTTTTCTCCGATTTCTTCCTTGCTCTTGTTGAAGTAAGATGGAGATGGACACTGATTAGTTTTTTCGTGGCCTTTACTGGCAACTGGCTACTTTTTGGATGTATTTATTGGATTATTTCTTATGCACATGACGATTTTATGGAATCAAACCTTCCACAGAATCTGAATACAACAGATTTCACGCCTTGCATTGAGAACATTTTTGGTTTTACGTCGACATTTCTATTTAGTGTAGAAGTTCACACGACAGTTGCATATGGTCGAAGATCTATTACTCTAGAATGTCCACAGACTATAATTGCTATGTGTTTTCAATGTATACTAAGCTCTATATTCCAGTCAGTTATGATCGGTATATTATTCGCAAAATTGACAAGGCCTAGAGCTAGAACCCAAACAATACTTTTTAGTAAGTTCTCTGTAATAACTACGAGAGATGCACAATTGTGTCTTATATTCAGAGTTGGTGATATGAGGAAATCAAGAATACTCAATATAATTCCTAAAGCATATATGTTAAGATGTAATACTGACTGCGAAAATAATATACTAAATGAAGATCAAATAGAGTTAAAAGTTGAAATCGTGGAGTGTGAACCAATATTCTTTTTATGGCCAATTCACGTAGTCCACGTAATTGATGCTAACAGCCCTTTGTATCGCATCTCCGCAGCAGATTTTCTTTGTAGTAAAGTAGAGATATTAGTTGTATTTGAAGGAATTATAGAATCTACTGGACAGCCCATTCAGGCGAGATCTAGTTACACCGAAAGTGATATCTTGTGGGGTCACAATTTTGTGTCTATGGTATCTTATGATAATGATAAATTAAAGTATAACGTGGATTTTTCAAAGTTATCAGAAGTGGAAGAAGTTGAAACGCCCTTATGTTCAGCGGAGGAATATTACTCGCTGATGAGATCTCTCGCACCGCCTTTAGACTTTGTCTAATTGTTACGGTTGTCCATAATTTTTTTTAAATTATGTGAATATATTAATTTAAAGAAGCGAGAAATTGTGTATTTATTTACTATTAAGTACAAGAAAACAATTTTTATATGACCTTGTGTATTATTGTATGTAATAAATACGTGTAAAATGCAATGCAGGTGCACTTCTGATTATGGGTTATCGTAGACTTCCGTGATATCTAGCACCATTGTTCAGGATTCCATAAAGTAGGACAAATCGTGATAAAATTCACCCATTGCACGCATTTCTTAATTATACGATAAGTTTTTTATAATATGGAGGAGACAAAAGCACACACATCCTAACTGGTAGTAAGTGCATGCTGTGGCCCATAGACATCTACATTTATCTTTGATTAAGTATCAAAATGCAGATGCGTTGTTGTTACCCCTTTTTTTTTTTTTTTTTTTTTTTTTTGCGGATGGAAAATATCTATGACCCCTTTCGTTGTGGAGCGTAAGGAGTGTACTTTATATATTGTCTTGTTGTTCCCGAGGACTAAGATGAAATGCCTCGTTTCCAGTAAAAAGGGTCTCCGGTTCTCTACACTGATCATAGGAAACACAGCAGTGTTAAGCTGCTATTTTACGTTTCAATTCTGTGAGAGCGTGGTCCCACCCCGACACATTCGTGATACAACCATAATATTATAGCTGCAGCGTGGCTCTATCACATATAGACATGCCAAACGAATGAAAAGTTATTAAATTCAATGTACTTTTTATTGAAATTCTTTATCATATTAAACTGTTTTTACTCTTATTTTATTTTATTACGTCTAAATTATGATATTTAATGCACTAACTTTAATCAGTCACATATTTTTAAAATAATTGCAATAAAAGTAGAGTAAAAATAAACTATATATTATATTTAATCAAACCTCTAAAAATCCATGAAGAATTTTCTGATATTAATATATCAGTGAAATTTAAGAATGATAGGTTATTTTAACGTCTTTAATAAAAAAATAAAAAACGTATCGTTATTTCTTATTTTAAATAAAATTGTTAATTTTAAAATTAGTATGATAATCAAATTTTATTTTTTCTTATAAAACTAATAATTTTTATAAAAAATTAAAAAAATATTAGAACTGCAGGAAAAAAGGAAAAAGGAATGAAAATGAAAAAGAAAGAGGAATGAAAGTGATGGTTTTTGAAATATAAGAAAGTAAAACGTTATGTGAAATAAGAATAGATGGGGAGTTGATTGAGCAGGTGGATCAGTTCGTATATTTGGGATGTATATTTAGCAGGGATGGTAGATATGATAAGGATATAGAACGTCGAGTGAATGCAGGAAATAGGGCGAATGGTGCTCTACACTTTATTATGAAGAATCAGAATATGTCAAAAAAGGCACGTATGGTATTTCATAATGCTGCGTTTATCCCTATCCTGTTTAATGTATGGTTAAGAAAGTTGGGTGTAGCAGAAGAAGCAGGAAAGTAGAATAAATGCTGTAGAAATGCGGTCTTTAAGAAGTATGCTAGGGTTGAATCTGCATGACAGGGTGAAAAATTGTGTGATAAGAGAAAAATGTGGCATGCAAGATGATGTTGTGACCAGGATTAAGAAATGAATGTTTCGGTGATTTGGTCATGTAGAAAAAATGATTGAGGAAAGAGTGATAAAGAAAATTTATATGGCAGATGTGAACGACAGAGTCGGGAAGGGACGCCCTAGACGAAAGTTAATCGATCAAATTAGCGATATTTTGAAAATGGGCCACATTATGATTACCCTTAACCGACGAGCATGTTTGCGTAGATATATGGATGTAAAGGAGCCGAGAGAGGTATGTCAGGATCGTGCCAAATGGAAGTCCGTTGTCTCTGCCTACTCATCTGGGTGACAGGCATGAGTGTTTATGTTATATAATCAGTGTTGCTACCTCTCACATTAATTACACATCGACATCGATTGTTCATACTTAAAACAAAATTGTCAAAGTCTTGCTGCGATATGAGGTCCCATGTTCTTTACATGTGTTCGTAAAGTTGTTGATTTGTCATTGAATTTGGCGAAAAATCTCTCAAAGATTTTTGTTTAATATTTCCCAGGCATGCTCGATAGGATCTAAATCGTCAATCGGCGATCAAACCAAAGATTGGCCTATACAGTCACCGATTGACTTGAATATCGTGGTCTAGGAGAGCGGCCGGGAAGAAGTATTATCGTGCATGAGTAGAAATTCCTGGCCCATTTGTATTCTGTTTGGGACAATTACAAACTGTGTGGTATTTTTGTGCAGTCGTGCTGACTTAGAACCAAACGAGCTGGGTAAGTCCACCAAGACGAATTCCTACACCATGCCTGTTCTGCATTGGAATGAGTGGACATCCTGAGGATGCCGCAGAAGTCTAACTCTCCCTGAAGTTCTCCAAACACGCAACTCTACTACTCTACTCTCCAAACTACGCAAGGTTTGGTCGCTGACCAGCGGCTGGTGGTCTTCCTGAAGTCTTTGTAGTAGTTGCATCGCTGTGATATTGAGTTGTCTTTTGGCGGTCATTTTGAGAACTCGATCCTGTCTCTGCGTAGTAACACGATATCTACCCGTGTACCGTTCAGCCACATCTATAGTACTACGACAACGTATCTACAACCTTGATATCACGCTTTGGCTGATGTGTAGGGCCTTACTAACGATGCGTTGAATAGCACTATTTTCTAACATACATAGTATGTTACTATGTATGTTAGAAAATAGTGCTATTCATCTCGACTCAAATGGCGACTTGATATGACTCAGAAAGCTCACACAGTACGTTAAATTAACAAAGAAAAACAATCTTATCCCTTTTCATTAATTACTATCAGTAGAACAAGTTTAATGTTCCTTAACGCAATGAATTGCTTATAAGTTTGCGGCCGCATTTTCTTTTCTATTTAAATTTTTAAAATTTGAAAAAAGAATAAAAGAGTGACCTCTTTTTTTTCTCTTTAAAGGGTTCAAATCTGTATAAAAACAACTTTTTAAACTATAAAATCCCAAGTAATTTATTATAAAGGTGTCCCTAGATTCTGTTGATGTGTTTAGTATCACAACATTTTTCCTCTCGAAAGTTTCCGATACAGTTTATTAAGTGCACTGACCTCTATATATACAAGTACGCTGGACTGGCTATACCATACAAAATGACTGTGCCAATTTGAAGTGCCGCTAAAGGATGTCTTGAAAAATAAAATTGACATAATATGCCTAAGTCTGTTGTCTTATTTATATTGTCATATTTAAAAAATCTGTATTTTGAACGTTTAAACTAAAAAATGAAAGTATTTTGTGTTGTTTGATTGTGTATAATTTTAGTGTGCGTAATCTGTAAAACTCGTTACCAAAAGGGAAGTGTTGTAACATTTCACAAGTAAGTGAATTTGCAGCAAATATTAAACAAATTAAAACTATTTGATAATATAAGTACTTAAAAATATGTTACTAATCTTAATATCATTTATACCAACATGTTTGGCTGTATATTACTGAGTTTTGATAAACAATAAAATTCAATAGGGTTGTCGAGTTTCCTTGTCTATAATACTTATCGATGTTCTTTTCTACACACAATATCTGTTAATAAACAAAGTCGCCAATAACAGATGATTATCAATTAACAATGTTTATTAATTAACAGGTTTCCAACTGAACCTAGACCAAAATTATGGCTTAAAAGCATAAATATTGGGGAAAAAAAAACAAAATGATCATATTTGGTCCAAACATTTCATATGCGACTGTTTTATTAGACATGAGAACTGCAACACTTTGAAAAGTGCAGTATACCGACAATATTTTGTGGCAGTACCAGTACCAGTAAGTATAAAAGTATTAGATTATTACTTAGAATGTTTATTTTGTTTCTTCTTTCCTAATTTTCCTCCAAACTCAAGGGCCATAGCCAAGTGTCGAAAGGTCGCCTGATGATGTCGAGCCACGTTGGATGTGTGTTAGTGGGCTGCGGCTAGAGGAGATTCCTCTCCTTGTACCGCTGTAGTTGAGGTGGAGTAGTAAGGGAAGAGGAGTGTTAGTATGGCGATTGGCGATGCGCCACTCGACTATCTTTGCTGCCATTGGGCGGTTGGCACCAGAGGGGCCGCGGATGTGCATGAAAGCGTTTCCGTGGCCCTGCCAATTTGCAGCGGAGATAGAACACCATGGGATTTTAGTAAGTGCGATCTAGAGATTTAATTCTCTCTCAGTTGCAGGCACGAAATAGTATGAGTACATATTTGTGCTATTTGCTGTAGAGACTATTGGTCCGTGGGGTGAATGTGTGGTGTAGTTCCTAAAAAACTGTATCTGCGACTGATCATCGTTGCTGGTAATAAGAAGTTGTTTAGTTTGTTGCTTCCCCGCTTGAAGGCTAAGTATAGCCATTCAGAGAGGACACGTAGCCAGCATTCTTGGGACGATACCACGGAAAGTAGGACTGTATAACTGATAATTTCAGTTATTTTTTTAATATTGTAATTTTAATTTAGAAAATGACGTTGTAAATAACTGATAATTAATTAATTCAAAGTTTATATTTTTTTAATATTATCTTGCTAGCTCGTTCCCGGCGCAATCCTGCCGCAAAAGGAATAATTGTGGAAATATCGTTAAAAGTGTGCAACAGTTATATTGTATAATTAGGAATGATAATACAATCATTGAAATAGAATGATATATAACTTTCTATAACTTTCAAATAAATAGTCAGTATAATATAATACGCACGCCACCTAGTGTTAGTTAGTTGTACCATGCGTCTAACCTTCGCACGAGTGCAACCAATAAGTTGACTAAGTTTTAAGATCTGATGAACGGTATGGCATCGTAGAAAATACGAACAAACATAATTTTTTATATAGTAGAAAATATTTTACTGTCTATAGACAGACATGTAGTTGATTAGAATAAGCGTTATTATAGCAGCTGATTTGTTTTTCTTTATAATACTAGAACTAAATAAACGATTGAAAATAAATTATTTT